CTTTCCCTCTTTTTCCTGCTCTCTCTGGTGAACATACTTGCTCTTTCTCTGGCAAGCACATGTGCTAACAAAAAATCCAGAGGGGCCACGCTGGCCCCAAAGACTAGTGGAGGTCAGAGGAGTCAGATCCCACATGGCTAACCTGGTTCAAACCCCAGCTCTGAAGGTTTGACAAAAACTCTGGGGCGTGTGTGTGCGTGCCCAAAATCCAGAAAGGATGAAGAAATGGAGATGGGATTGCAGTGTGACCACACCCTGCTGGGAAGTGCTGCTGGGAAGTGCTTTCCTCCCTTTTGGGGAGATGTGCTGATGGTGGCATTTTACAGGAAGCCTAGAAAAATGATGGGAAGAGGAGCTGCTTTCCCTCTTTTTCCTGCTCTCTCTGGTGAACATACTTGCTCTTTCTCTGGCAAGCACATGTGCTAACAAAAAATCCAGAGGGGCCGAGCTGGCCCCAAAGACTAGTGGAGGTCAGAGGAGTCAGATCCCACATGGCTAACCTGGTTCAAACCCCAGCTCTGAAGGTTTGACAAAAACTCTGGGGCGTGTGTGTGCGTGCCCAAAATCCAGAAAGGATGAAGAAATGGAGATGGGATTGCAGTGTGACCACACCCTGCTGGGAAGTGCTGCTGGGAAGTGCTTTCCTCCCTTTTGGGGAGATGTGCTGATGGTGGCATTTTACAGGAAGCCTAGAAAAATGATGGGAAGAGGAGCTGGGCAGCAGAACACGACCCCCTGTGCCCTTGACCTGTGGTGCAAGTGACTTAATGGCCGTGAGCTGAGAGGGCTGAGCACAGGGCTGGCATAGTGGGCACCTATGCTGTGCTTAGGGCAATTGTTCCAGTCAGGGCCTGTGGCAGGAGGCCCAGATCAAAGGACTCACCCCAGCTGTCCCACACACGGGCCCTGGAGTTACACAGACCTGGCTGATGTTGGCTGGGCTAGTGCCCTTGGGCAGGTGAGGTCTCCTCTCGGGGCTCCGGGTTACTCATCTGTAAAATGGAGAGAAAACATCCATCACTCCCTCATTCAGTAACAACTCTCCAGTGGGCCTCTTTTGTGAGCAGCCTCCTGCCAGCTGGTGCTAGGGGCACGGGGGGACTAATACAGCCGCTGGCTCATAGGGGTATCCATTAGGGGCAGAAAGACCTGTCCCTTGAGAGCCCAGAGTGGTCAAGGCCCAGGTTGGCAGGAGCATCTGACCCAGCCTGGAGGGATGGCAGGTGGGCTGCCCAGGAGAGGGGGCCATGTGAGCTGCAATCATGTGAGCTGGTGGGACTTTGTTGTGTGCCAGGCTGGCTCCTCAAGGCCTGGCACTGGGTCAGTACCCGGCACTGGATTGGCACCAAGCCCAGTTAGATCTAGTGAGAGTGCTGTAGTGGCCAAGCAGACCCCTCTGGAGCCCGATCTCCTCCTCAGACTTTCCTTCTGTGGGAGCAGCTTTGGGAGGTGGGGCTGCCACCCCTAGCCTAGAGGTGGGACATCAATGGGTAGCCATCCAGGGAAACCGGTTTGGCAGCAGGAGTCAGTGGGAGGCGGGTGGGGACCTAGCAGCCAACCTGTCTCAACAGGTCCCAGGAGGCCAGTGGGAGCTACGGCCAGGCCTGGCCAGGGCCCAGTTCCCCTGCTGCCTAGTGGGCCTGGGGTGCCAGGATAATGGGCCGGGATAGCCCCAGGCAGGGTGGGGTCCCCTCTGCCTATGTTTTGGAAGCCCCCTTCGTGTTTCTCCCCATTACCAGCCCCTGAACACCCCTCCACCCCAGCCCACTGCTGGCCGCCTTCACCACCTGGGTCATCACCACGCACCCCAGACGCCCCTTCCTCGCTCTCTGTGCTTTACCAGCACAGGTCTATACCCAGGTCCTACCGCTGTGCCCACCATCCCACCCCTGCTGCTCACCTTGGCCTCTTCCCTGCCCAGCTGGCTCCCTCCTCCCACCACCTGGGGGCACCAGGGCAGCTTCCAGGGCCTCTGCAGGAGTAGGATCAGCCATGTGACCCCTCACCATACCCGAGAGGGAGGGGCACATCCTGGGGTGGGAGGAGCTCAGGATCAAGCTGGTGGGGATGGGCAGGGAGCTCCCAGCCAGTAGGGCAGTCTGCCTCTCACCCACCTGCCCCTCTCCACCCTCTCCCACTGCAGCCCCATGTGACCCTGCAGGGGAAGGGAGTGGGGGGCAGACCTCCGGATATTTGCCCAGGGCCACCCCTTCCCTCTGGGCACCACAGGGAGGACAGGACAAACAGAGGAACTGACCGTGTTTATAGTGACCGGGCAAGAGCCGCGCCCTGGCCCCTCCAGGCAGCTCCAAGCCCTGCCAGCTCTTCCCTTCCCCCTCCTTTCCCACCATAAGCTCCTGACTCCTGCGGGCCCTGAGCCAGGCCTCGGAGGGAGAGGAAGAGGTTGCTACAGAAAGACCTGAGCCTGCCCAGGTGCAGAATGGAGGAACAGAGAGCGGGTGCTGGGGTTCCGGACTAGCTGCCTGATTTGTAAGATGGGGATGACACCGACCGCCCGAGGAGTTCCATGTACGGCCGGGCGAGCAGCTCAGTCACGACGTCCCCGTTCCCTCCTCTGGTAAAAGAGGGCAACACAAGTGGCTGCTTCCTGTGATTTTTCTAAGGAGACACAGAGAACACCAGACACTGACGGCCTGGGTCAGGGGAGCCGGCCACTGGGAACTCCCCAGTATGTGTTCAGTACGGTGGCCACTGTTCCAGCAGCAACCGGCACCACGGAGAGCACCTACTAAGTGCCACCCTCTCCTAAGCACTCCACCCAAATCCACTCTTAACCTGCACAGCTGACCCACGAGGGAGGGGCCATTAGAACCCCGGGTTACAGACAAGCAAGACAGGCACTAAGAGGGCGCTCCCTTGCCTGAGTGACACTGCTGGGGTGCCAGAGGGAACGTGAGACTCTAGGCCTGTCTAGCCAGGAGCCCATTCTCAGCACGGCAGCAGCTGCGCTCGTGGAGATTAGTGTGTGCTGGGCCTGCTCTGGTGCCTGACCCGTCCTATCCTCACGACAAACCTGACACAGGCACTCCCATCATCCTAACACCCAGGACGGGAACCTGAGCCAGAGGGGAAAACCTAGTCCAGGGTACCCCGTCAGGATTTGAACCTGGGCAGTTGGACATCAAAGGCTGGGGTCTTACCTGCCTGTCCTCTTGAGGGCTGCAGGAAGACTACTGATTTTATCTCTTATCATCATCATCATCTTCTCCAAGGCTGGGCCTGGCCTCTGCTCTTTCCTCCCTTCCTTCCCAATGTGCCTTTCCTCTCCTGCCCCGGGCCGTCCCCAGAGTCCCCACCTCTTATCTGACCTGCCCTGGCCCCCATGGGTAGCAGAGGCCAGCACATAGTGGGGCTCCTAGCCCCCTTCCATGGCTGTTTTCTGCCTTTGCCATGACAGTCTGCAACTAGTCCCAGCCACAAAGAGTGGCTTACCGCAGCTCGGCTTCGTTTCCTTCACCACGACGGATGCCCGCGAGCCTGCCCACAGACACCTGGCCACGTCAGTGGAGGGGCTATTCTGACCCTCACCTTGCAGATGTGGAAACCAAGGCTTAGAAAGGTGAAATCTCTTGCTGACGCCACGAAGCGTCGCTGGGCCTAGCAGACAGTTTAGTCTGATGCGCTCCGGAGTTAGTATCTGTAATCCTGTGCTGGCCCCTGGGGCTCCTCCTGGTGGCCCCAAGTCCTGGGTGCTCCCCCCTCACCTCGCTGCCCTCCCCTCCTCCTACGTGCCCCCTCACTCATCTCCCCCAGCCACACAGGCCTCCTTGCTCTCTTCAAATCCTAGTATGCGCTCATCTCAGGGCCTCTGCACGGGCTGCTGGACTACCGGAGCGCTCCTCACTGCCCGGTACCGCGTCCGGCCTCCCTGCCCTCCCACTCTCTGTTCCTTCCTCTCTCCCCGCTGCACCTCCCACTGAAGTGTGTGTGTCTGCCTCTACCTCTGAATGGCAGCTCCACAGGCTAGTGACTGTCATCTGTCTCGCTCCCTGTTACCCCACTGCTTATGACACTGCCCAGTCTGCAGTAGGCACGCACAAATACAGGCAACAAACTGATTTATCTGGGCCTGCTACGCTACACCCCTGCTCAGATAGCTCAGACCAGGCCTCATAACACCTGGGCGACTTCTACAGAGAAACACCTGGATCCTAGAGACAGGGTGAACCAGCAACCCCAGAGAGACTGGACGGAGGATGGTGCACAGCCCTCAGCCAGGGGCACAGAGGACTCTCAAGTCCAGTGTTTGATCCTAGAAATGCAGGCACGTTCTGTACCCTACTCTAAAATGTTTATTCGACTAAAAAAAACCTTGAGCATGTATTTTTTTTTAATTTGCCAGAGGGCATATGTATTCACCAGAGAGAAAAACAGAAACAGAGAGTTGGTGAGAGAGAAAGTACCCACCCTCTGACCTCACAATGAGACGTGGTCATGCTGTAATCCCGTCTCCATTTCTCTGTCCTGTAGAGATTTTGGGGTACACAAACACACATACACACACACACACACACACACACGTGCCTGGAAGTTTTCAAAGCGCTCGGCCCAGGATTTTAACCATAGCCAGCCACGTGGGATCCAGCTCCCTTAACCACAAGGGCCCATGGCCTAGTGGTTAAGGAGCTGGACAGACGATTACTATGCCCAACTTCGTAAGAGCTTCGTTATTTACCAGTCACGTCCTGTGCATACTGTGCCACCCTCTGATCGGATCTAGGGTTTGCTCTGGGAAACACGGAAGGGGGTCCTGATCTGACCCCTCCCTGCATCTCCCCTGGGCTCCTGGTTCTATATGGGTTTGCTTCCTCTACACAGGGGCTGCAGCTTCTTACTCATCAGTCACCCGCTGGCCATGCTTGTCTTACCTTCTGACCTTTGGTGAGAAAAAAGTGGCCCCCTGCCCCAAGGAAGTCAGCCCAGGTGAAAGGGCGAGACCCCCATGAGAAAGAGAGAAAGCCTTCTGGGGCGTATACAAATGCACCCAAAAACCCTTCCCCTGCCTGTCCCCACCTGACCCTCAGGCTCTGAAGAAAGCTGCCATCCCTAGGTGGAAAGAGCGGACCCATATGGAGCCAGGGGCCCCGGGGAGAGCAGAGGATGGGTCAGGTCAGGACCACACTTTCCTCTTTCTCAGAAAGAACCCTAGACCAGGAAGGGGGATGATGAAAAAGTGCTCACTGTCCCCAGCCTGCACGCGAGGACTCCACTACCAGCCCACTCACCTCTGCCATGGGCTTCACCTGCCAGCTGCCAGGGAGGCCCCTGCCTGCCTCAGTTTACACCCCCTACCATCCAGGGTTGTGCTCTGACAATGAAGGGGGAGTCTGGCTTGCCTTCCCGGCCCCTGTGCCATTCCCACTTCCTCGGCCTTGCTCAGCTCTTGCCCCTGCCCTGTATGACACCCCCTTCCCCATGCAAATCCCACGTCAGGCCCACCCTGAGCCCAACTACCTCAGGGGATCCTCTAGCTTTAGGACTGACCTGTGCCTAAGCCCCCTTTCTCAGCAAGGATCTACTTTACCCACCGAGGACCCCAATCACAAGGACGGCCTCTCTGCCAGGCCTGGTACCACTCACAGAGGACAGAAGAGCAGGAACATCCGCGTCCTGGTAGAGCACTCAGTCTAGGGGAGGGGCCAGCCCCGACGGTGCGATAGATCAGGGAAGTATCCAGCGAGCCAGGCAAGTGCTCAGGCGGGCCTTGCTGACAAGGGGACACTTGAGCAGGGACCTGAGCCAGTGCCTAAGTCCCACGGTGGGAACCTTGAGGAGGCCCAGGGGGCTGTGGCTGACAGAGACCCAAGTGCACAGAAGCTGCCATGTTAGAAGGGAACCAAGACCCGCAGAACAATGAACAGACTGAACTCTGCAAGGTTTCCTTCTGGTGTGGCTTAGACGACACGACTCCCCAAGGCTCTGCCACCTTCACATACCCACCGTGCTTCACTCCCGCCAAGCTGGCTTCCTC